CTCATGTGAAAAGGCTCTTAAGACAGTGATGGTGAACGTTTTAGAGACCGAGTGCCCAAACTGCAACCCAAAACTCACTTATTTACTGCAAAATGCTGTGTCCCTCTAACTTTCCAGTAACTGAGGGCCTCTGCAGACCGGCCCAAAGGGCTGGCCTGGAGGTAGAGTTGGGGCGGGGCAGCTGTGCCGAAAAGAGTGCTGAAGAGCCGCGCACTGGCTCTTAGGGTGGCCTTTTGCCACCCCTAAAAGGAGCGGCATTTTTCCACTCTTTTCAGGACAGCAGAAGGGAGGATCAGGGCCACGGCATGGGGTTGCCATGGCCCCAATCCGTCACTCCCTGGGGCAACTTTGTGCCGCCCATCTGCAGAGGTCCAAACTCTGGTGAACTCTATGCTAGGGTGATGGCGTGTCCCCTCTGGCACACATGCCATAGGTTTGCCACTACTGCTCTAAAAGAATAATAGGAGGAAGGGAGAGTTAAAGACAAACTTAAGACAATAACAACAACAACATCTGAGGACACGAACATCATTCCATTAATACGGCCATGTGATGACATGATCATAAGAGCTCCACCTGGAAGCGCCTTTAGAAGGGCCCACTCTTGTGTGGCTTTTCACTAAAGTTTTCCATTCCAAATAAGTTCATAGGATCAAAGATGTTTTTCAGCTTGCCTGCCATGATAAATAGGATTAGACTTGCTATCATTGCTTTGCTTCCTCATAATATATTACGTAGTACAGGTAGGGATAATGCGATATGTAGTCATAAGGCAATTAGTAGGACTGTTGCTCACATTGCTGTGGTGGTTAACAAAAAGGTGGTAAAAAGACTATCCCTGGAGATTTACAGGTAGTCCCCATGAGAACAGATGGCATGAGGTGAAAGGAGGGACAGCCAAGAAAAACAGAGAAAAGGAATCCATTTGCGGTTATGGATGAATAGGATGCTAGCTCACTCAAAATTTGAATTATGATATGTTTTAATTGTATTGTATTAATGGTAGACTCTGAGGGCCTCGACAGACGACTAAAAGAGTCGTCTTCCGGGCAGGGAAGAGGAGGGGCAGCCGCACGAGCGGCGCCCCTTCCTCTCCCCGAGGTCGCCCCCAGAAGCGCCGGCCGTCCGCACGGCCGGCGCACCGGGGATGACCTCACCGCGCAGTGCCCACATGCGCTGCGCCGTTTGAGTCAGGGAAAGTGTGCCCGCCGCTTTTAGGGCGCACTTTCCCTGAAATCTAAAAGGAGCACCAATTTGGTGCTCCTTTTAGATTCGCCGCAGGGGCACTGCGGTGCGGAGCCTCCGCTCCGCCGGCGCCCCGACCCGCGGCGACTGGGAAGCAGTCGTCTGCTTCCCCCCTCAGTCTTGATAATACACATCTGTGGTAAATATCTATAGTTTCTAAATAAAGCTTTTCTGTTTCTACTACTGAACACCTGGATTTCTGAACTGTACTGTTCCTGTACATGACAATAGGAGCAGAGATGTCTTGCAGCTTGAAAATCTTATCTGTTTTATATTTGTTTTCCTGTTACAGGCTCACTTTCACACAAAAAAACAACAACACGGAAACAGAGCCAGAGTGTAGTAACTTTCTCCATGCCTTGCCACATGACATCATAGTGCTTAAGGAGACAGTTGTAAAAGCATGTCTTTTATCAAACAGATTTTTCCAGCTAGAGAAAAGATAGCTTAAGCACTACAACATCATGTGGTAAGACATGGAGAAAGCTGCTACTTTCCAGCTGTTTCAGCTTTGGGTTTTTTTGTGCAATAAGGCTCTTACTTTTGCTTATCGAAGTAAAAGGAAGACTTACAAGCATATCTAAGGTTTCCTTTTCTGCATCTTCTGGAGTCGTCTTTATTTTGTCTTTTATCTCTCCCAGTGATGCTAAGCGGCGATGCATCTGCACCTGAAATTTGGAGGTAAGGTGAATCAAGAACATATAATTCCATCATATTTCTTTTTTACAGGTTTAATTGTTTAAATGGCATATGCCTGCTATCTTTAAAAATCTAAAGGCAGCTCACAACATATGTAGAATTCGTAAGTCAATTTAAAAACAATTTCAAAATGCACATAAAAGCATAAATGAATAAATAACAATATTTTGTATTATTTTACTTTTATCTTTGTGCTTTTATCTGTATTTGTTTACATTTTTGTCTGGTACCTTGAATCCCCATTTTGGGAGAAGCACAGGATTTAAAATAATAACAATAATAGTACATAAATACAAGCAAAACACCATGGAACATTCTGTACTTCCTCAAGTATATTTAAAGCACTCCTACAAAGTGATTCATTACCCCACAATAAATCCACACAGAGAAGCAACAAATAATACAATGTCCTTCTAGAGCTCTGCCCAGAACCTGGAAAAATTATATACATACCGTATATATTTGGATTGCAACCCCAGAATCCTCATGCTAGCTGGAAGATTCTGGGAAACGGAGTCAAAATAATAACATCCAGGAGTTGTGTCCATTCTGGGTGTTGTAGTCCAAAAAGTAATTTTTGGAGGTTATTCAAAACGTAACTTGCTCAAGCTATACTACTGTTTCTTCATAGGCAAACAAGTGCCAACACCTCAATTCATTCCTTAGCTGAGGGTCCACCTACTGTGTCACCATCTCCATTTCTGTTCAAACACACAGGATCTCCCAAACATTTATTCCCGATGAGAAAACATCAATGCGTGTTGGGAGCTGTGGTCCCCAAAAGTAGGTTTTCCAAGTGAATAACACTGATATACCTTTCAGAATTGTCAGGTAGACATTAGGGTTGCCAGTTCAAGATCAACCCAGGCCAAAACCTGAGACATAAAGATGGTCCCTGGTGATGAGATTAGGTAATATATATTAATTACTGTATCAATCACAGTGCATTACAGCTTGTCATGCCAACATACAGTCAGAGATAACATCTTTTCCTGTTAGGAAATCAAGATAGAAATTTACCTAAGGGGGCTGTTCCTAGATTAAGATGAAATGAGGGAATTATCCTTCTATGGGAAATGTTTGCTCAAGCCAGGCAGGTCTAGATTGGCAACGGTTTCCCAGAGGATTTTTTGTCTGCTACCCCTAGACTTTGGAATGAGCTACCAGAGGAAACGACAGTTGAAAATGCTGACTGCTTTTAAAACAGCATTAAAGACATATCTCTTCTGGAATGTACTCTTATGAGTGTATTTTAATGATTTTATAGTGTTGTATTTTAACTATGAGTCTATGTGTTTTTGTGTTTTGTATTTTAATATGTTGTACCACACCTAAATAATAAAATTTATCATCATCATCAACAACAACAACCCTCATATATATTCCATTACCAACAATCTAGATGGTTTTCCTACCTTGTATTTTTGGACTACATCTTCTGCAAGATGCACAGTGTGTGATTTATGTTCTGGAGATCGTTCACAAATCAAACACACTAGTTCCTCATCATCCTCGCAGAACAGGTTTAGCTTTTCCTTGTGTTTTGTACACAGGTAGTCCTTTTCAACTGTTGTGGGTGAAATTTGTTTGAGCTTTTCTACTATGCTGCCCAGCTGCTGGTTTGGCCGAAGTTTCCCTTCATGGATCGGCTCACTGCAAACAGGACATTGCAAAGGCCCACTTTTTTCTTTCCAGGAGACATAATAGTCAGAGATGCAGACCCGACAGAAATTGTGACCACAGTCCATAAGCACTGGGTCTATCAGATAGGACTTGCAAAGAGGACAGAGGGCATCTTCTTTCAAATCTTTAATTGATACAGGTGTGGCCATGATGGGCAGACGCTCCTATTTTTGCTAGTATCTTCCCTTCTCAGACAGAAGAATCAACAGGAGCGAACTAGAAGAGGGGAAAACATGACTGTAAAATATTTATATTATTATGAGCAATAGCTAAGGGAGCTGGATATTTTTAACTTACAGAATAGAAAACTACTAAAGACGTTATCACATGGGGAGTTGCGGGGAGAAAGTGGAAATAAACGGGCACGAGCTTAATTTACGGGATTTGTCCTGTTCCGCCTCGTCTGATAACTAAATTTGAATTTAAAAGGGGGTTAATTCGAACGCAAACCTGATCTTTTTATTTTCGGGATTTTTGAGGATTTGAAAAGATCAGGTTTTTGTTCGAATTAACCCCCTTTTAAATTCGAATTTAGTTATCAGACGAGGCGAAACGGGACAAATCCCGTAAATTAAAGTCTTCCTCTCGTCCGGTTTATTTCCACTTTCTCCCCGCAACTCCCCGTGTGATAACGTCCTATAGAGATGACATGACAGCCATTTTTAAATATCTGAAGGGGTGTCCTGTAGAAGATAAAGGGAGTATTTTTCCTGCTACTCCAGAGAAAAGAACCAATGGATTCAAATTACAAAGATATTCCACCTAAAGATTAGGAAGACCTTCTTTATTTTAAGAATTGTTTGACTGTGGAATGAACTGTGGGGTGGAAGAACTCCTTCTTTCGGTCTTTAAACAGAGAGGCGGTCTTTAAACAGAGGTTGGATGGGCATCTTGCAGGAGTGCTGTAGTTGTGCATTCCTGCATGGCAGAGGGTTGGACTAGAAGGCCCTTGGGTCCCTTTCATTTCTAACATTCTATGATTCCAAACTTTCTGTAATGACCTTCTCCAATTTCCCATACCCAAATCTCAATATTTTGATCCATGATCCCAATCAGCACTTTCACCCTACACAATTACAGCCCTTCAATACCACTTTAACAGCCATGGACACATTCTACGGAATCCTAGGATCTGTAGTTTGGTGAAGCACTAAAGCTCTCTGGCACAGAATTAAAAATACCTCTCCCTAAAAACCTAAATCAAATCCCAGGGCTCCCAATGATGGAACCACTGCAGTTTAAGTAGCTGTGGGTGTTGTTGTTGTGTGCCTTCAAGTCATTTTCAAATTGTGGTGTCCCTAAGGTAAACCTATCATAGGGTTTTTTGAGGCTGAGAGTGTGTGACTCACTCAAGGTCATCCAGTGGGTTTCCATGGCCAAGCGAGGAATTGAACCCTGGTCTCCAGAGCTGTAGTCTAATACTCAAAACACTATACCACTCTGGCTCAGTTAAAGCGGTATCAAAGTGGTATAACTGTGTAGAGTGAAGGAGACCGCAGTGAATCTGAATAACAGTAAGGGATCATGGAAGCTGAAGTTCAAAACATTCGAATTCCATCAGATCTAATAGGGCAACACTATACAACACTTTGTTCTCTCTGAGGCAGGTATGATTAGAACCCACTATGTATAAAGGGACAGTTAGGGTGGGAGGGAACATTTTGTACTGTATTTTATGCTGTGAACCGCCCGGATTGGGAAACCATTGGGCGGTATACAAATAAATTTTTATTATTATTATTATTATTGTCTAAGCATCTGTGGACTATAATCAGAACAGTTGGCTCTCCACATTTTCACCCTTGACTTTTGAGGATTTAATTAGTTGTGGATTTTATCAATATGTTCTCTGTAGGTCCTCCAATTCCTCTCTGCTGGAAGTTGACCATAGAGTTGTGCTGGGGAACATAGAAATTCCTAGAGAAAACACTTATCTAGGCATTTGTAGGTCCTCCAACATGATTCTATGGTCAATTTCTGGCAGATGTTGACCATAGAGTTGCACTGGAGGACCTGGAGATTCCTAGAGATGTAAAATAAATAAATAAATAAAATTTATTTGCAGTTTTCCACATTCATGAAGGTTCTTCACCCCCAACCCCAGCAAATGTGGAGGGACCACTGTACATTTTAATAACTCTTAAACAACATCTGTACTTATAAATGGGCATAAGTAACCTTTATACAAGTCCTCTCTTTTGGTGATGTATTTCTTCTTTTTTGGCAATGCTTTAGACTAGAGGGCTACCTTACTGCAAGTTTGATCCATGGTCTCCATCATCCATCAAAGCAACAGTAGCTCCAAAGGGATATAAAACCACTTACACCAAACACACCTTACATAAATGGAAAAGGTTTAGGATACATCACAGCCTCTCCATCTTTCAGCAGTAAACTTGTCAACATTAAACAACATTCCTGAAGCCAACTGGATGATAAAACTAGACTAAAACAAATTGAGTCCACTTTTAGGGTTAGGGTTAGGGAATCATGGGAACTGTAGTTTATTGTGGCACCAGAGCTCTCTCACAGAGAAGGATCAATGTCTCAGAAAAAAAACAATTCCCATGATTCCCTAGCACTAACCTCAACCCTAAAAGTGGACTCAACTTGCACTATTTCTGGCAGTCTGCAACCCCCCTAAAAGTACTGAATTCTCATTATATCTAAGTTGGTGCCATACCATAGTGGTTTGAGTGTTGGAACATGATTCTGGAGACCAGGGCTCAAATCCCGGTTCAGCCATAGAAACCCACTGGGTGACCTGGGCAAGTCACACTCTCTCAGCATCAGAGGATGGCAATGGCAAAATCCCTTTGAAGGAACTTGCCAAGAAAGCCCTATGATAGCCTTAGGGTTGCCGTAAGTCAAAAATGACTTGGAGGCACATAACAACAAGCCAGGCTTTCCCTTTGTAAGCCCAGCAAGCATTTAATCTTTAAAGCACTGCATTTAATCTTTAAAATGCTGCTTTTATTATTGGTAGTATTTTTTAAAACAGGGGTAGGCAACTTAAGGCCCGGGGGCCGGATGCGGCCCCCCAAGGCCTTTTGACTGGCCCCAGGCCAGTCCTACCGCCGCTGCCACCACCCACCATGATGATATTGATTGTAGGGGGGTTGCAGACCTCGAGAAATAGTGCAAATTGAGTCCACTTTTAGGGTTAGGGTTAGGGTTAAGGAATCATGGGAACTGTATTTTACTGTGGCACCAGAGCTCTCTGACAGAGAAGGCTCAATGTCTCAGAAAATAAACAATTCCCATAATTCCCTAGCACTAACCCTAACCCTAAAAGTGGACTCAATTTGCATTATTTCTGGCAGTCTGCAACCCCCCATTGTTGTTATTCCTTGTTCTTGGGGTTTTCTTGGCAAAATCTCCACATGGTTTTGCCATGGCTTTTCTGGGGCTGAGAGAGTGTGCATGCATGTTTTTTTATTTTTTTAAAAAAATATGTATTTATTTATTTATGGTGGTTCGGCCCCCCAATTGTCTGAGGGAGAGCAACCCGGCCCCCAGCTCAAATAGGTTGCCTACCCCTGTTTTAAAACATCTTGATATTTTAACATGTTGTGAATGTTATTATTTTATTGACTGACTGGTTTTTTATTTTAAAAATAATAATAATGTAAAACTACCCCAGTCGCATTTGCCAAACAATATACCAATGTATTTAAATAAATATCTATACAGTGGGCCCTTGGTATCTGCTGGGGTTTGGTTCCAGGACCTCTTGTGGATACCTCTGAGGATGCTCAAGTCGCATTAAATACAATAGCATAGTAAAATGGTGTCCCTTGTATAAAATGGC